AAAGCACGAAAATATCGGTTTCTGTCGTAAGTACCCACACCCTACCCCCAAGATGGGCGAACTCTTTCGCTTCCTTGCTATAGTGTGTCTTTGATTGTGCCACGAGGTTGAATGGTATATATTCGACTTACGTTCCGACCTTCAAGTCGTTTTCAAGGGCCCCAGGCTCCACAGCTAGTTTGCTAATGCTATATACACTCATTTAGTATAGTACTCTAGTAGCAACAGATTTGCTACTGATGAGCTATACCATAGCCGGGATCAGAGTCCGCGATCCGTCGCGCGATGCGCGCGATCGCGCGACAGAGCGCAAACTCTGACACTAGCCTAACTAAGTCTATTTCGCTTGCGTTTCTAGTAAATCCACCCTGACCTCTCCCATGCAAGAATTGAGATTTCTGTAGGGGCACGATTTTCACCAATCACTCCCCCCTTATTGGAACATGCTCCGAAAATTACATACGTGACGCAGTATTTACACCGCTAGTAAAAAATAATGGAAAGATGCGAAGTTTCTGAAATAACACTTTAAAAAGAAAACCTCCATTTTTTCTGACCTGCGAATAAACAACCCTCTGTGACACATGGCTTGTATGGGGGTGTCGTAATCGCATGTGTGGACATTTTGAACTCGGCCCTTTGAGCCGCGTCAATGTGTTCCCCTTGTTTGCGAAGAGAGGGGAAAGCTCACGTGGTGAATAGGCGAGCGCATGCTGGTGAGGTCACAGGGGTGGGGTTCGCTAGGACAGAAGCGACTTTTTCGTTTCGCAGCGCGAAACATTTTTCGCTGCGGGAACCTCGGTCCACTCATGATCAGCGGTGGACCTGAGGTTCCCGCAGCGAAAAATGTTTCGCGCTGCGAAACGCGAAAAAGTCGCTTTCTGTCCTAGTGAACCACACAGAGGTCACAGCGGCGCAAGGGCGACGTTTGTCACTTCGTTCGAATAGTGGTGGATTTGTTGGAAACTTAACAACTTCTGCACTTCTCCAATTCCTATGGTCGGGTGCAAAACGGGTGTGGTTCACAAAGAGCTAATTTTCCGTCTTTCGCAGCGCGAAACTTTTTTTTCGCCACGGGGACCTCAGGTCCGCCGCAAATCATTGGTGTGCGTTTGATTTCTGCCGCAAAAAAAGCGTGCGGAAAGAGGAAAAATTCGCATCCCGTCCTAGTGAACCAACCCGTGGAAAACATTTGTATCGAGGACGTGCCCGCGTTGCCGGGGCCTTCGAACCCCGTCTGCCTCTATCCCCCACAGCGCTCAGGACTGTTGCGTTGCACGTTCCATCAAGTCCGTTCCAATAAGAGGGGCACTGCGATGCGCAGTGAGCTCTAATGCTAGTTTGACTCAAGGAGTCCTTTAAAGTTACGAGCTGCTATCAGCTTTATTCCTCCGTTGTTTCTTCTGTTTTGTATAGTATGTGATTCTAGTATTTCATGACGTAAATGTCCATGAAAAGTAATATTTACTAAGAGAGCTTCCAAAAGGCGTAGTCCTGTACCTTCACACTGGGAGAATATGCTGACCGTGATTTTAACACGTCAAGCGCTTAAACCGCATGCCCCTACTGGGATAGACCCCGTTCCAGCTTATGAATGGAGTAAATTCCGGAATATTCCTTAGGCGTCAAATCGAACAAATTATCGTTGACCGTATTACAGTATCCCTTTGTTTGTAAGTTTTTGTTTGGCTATCCGATCTCCCGTTTGGTCTCCTTCGAGGCAGAACCGAGATAACACAGAAATGAGGATAGCAATGGGACATCAAAGAGTGGAATAGGAAAGTAACAAATAGAAGCCAAAGAGCGGCTATACAACAACGCTGCGCGGCTGTGACCGCTGACTACTCAAAAGAAAGCGCTGCGCGACCGGACGCTAAGCTGTCAGGTATCGCGACCACACTTTGTTTTTGTGTTAATTGTCACGTTACGGCGACTAAATATAAAATGTGGTGTTCTTTAACACCTATGGAACTGCTTCGACCGACTCAATTCAAGAAAAGAAACTTTACTAAAATGCTACTCATAGCAAACTATGTATACAACGAAAGCATCGAGAAGCCGAACGGACGCACTGAGGGAGAAATAAAGACTTAATTATAGGGAACACCGTTTGAATAGCACTGCTTATTCTCAACAACTCTTACTTTAACACACAAATGATCGACAATGCACAAGACGTCTCATTTAGGTATAAATGATTTGAATAGAAATGAATGCACTCTTCTCGCAGTACAGACTGAACAAGAAAATGAAGAATTCAATCGTTGACAATTGCAATTATGTACAGAAAAAGAATATTTATACTATATATGAATGAATGGTGTAAAACTATGAATATCAAATAACAAACGCTCTCGACTTCATGGTATAGAATTAAAAATAAAGACGACTGTATAACACAAAGAACGTGATTATTACACACAAATAGAAAAGAAAAAGAATCATTAACAGACCGGTCCTACAATGAAGGTAAAAGCCCTCGTAAGGACGTAACAAACATTATAAAATCAATAAAATCACTTGATCTCTAAAACTATACAGTGTATGAATAGGTGACGCTAAACGAAACAGAGGAACATCCCATCGTTTCTCATCGATCAGTATACTAGTAATCGTTCCAAGGATCAGTACAGTTGGTCCCAGCACGATTTCCCGACTATGTTGAACGATGAGAAGCTCAAATTGGAGCACAGCACTATCACTACCACGGCTTTTTCACGACATGTGCAATAGGTGATTTGCAAAGATCCCATATGACTAGCGTGTGAGGCCAACGGCCTCGAGTTTAAGAGCTTTTCGGCCCATAAGGTTCCCAAAATGAGAGAAGTTTTATATGTATGTATAGAGGCACTAAATGCTTTGATGACGCGTATGCGATGCAGATAAAAAGAACACACAGCAACCCGTGCGGAACATACACCGAATTCCACGTCAAAATAATGAAATATATAGGTAGAGCATTTTCCACATTCCTGGTAGCGTTCCTGTTACAGACAACACGCTTCTGACAATGTTGAATTCATTACAAATCTCGGTGCTACCGCGCGCGACCGCGCCGCGTACTTCAGTCTTTTCCTAGTGGCCGCGACGCGACCGAGCGCGCCGAACAATGTTGAACACGTCAGAGGTTGGAGAAGTGGAAAACAAGAAGATGAACAGGTTCACACAATCGTCGTCATATGCACCGGGAGTTCCAGAAAATGAAATGAAGTAAGGAAATGTCTGGAAATTGGCAACACTGTACACATCCCCATACAGACAAATAGACAGATAGGCAGACATTCATACACACACGCACACACCTACAGACTGAGTGAACAATGGCTGAATACCGGTGAGCTTTGTAACAATCTGATGAAGGATGAAGACAAATAATAGCAAATTTGCAACATGATAAACACAAACAACAACTTTTTACGTTCGATGGCAAAGAATAAAGAGGAAAGAAGGAATTGGATACAAAGAAGAATGGAAAATGCCAATCAAGACGTCTACCTGTCGATCATCGAGGACTCCCTTCTTCCTCGTCCATTGAATATCAATACATTCAGACTAACTCAATTCGCTTGAACCGACTCGGCGTCACATTGGCCTCGAACGGTCGAACGGTTGGCACTACCGCGGCAGGTGAAAGGGCCGACTCATCGGTGGGAGTCGCACCACCTGGTGGGTGTGCAGGACGGGCTGGACACAGTGGATGAGGGCGAATGCGACAGTGAAACTCGTCGCACGCGTCGAGTCAGCGATTGGAGGTCTTCAACCACTGAACCGACAAGCATTTCTTCAGCTGGAGTAGATGGATCGGGAGGCAGACTGAAATGGAGGAAATGGTAAAATTCCAAAAGAAAGCTAATTTTTAAAGATTTTCATAACATTCTCAATCCATCGCTTCTGCAGTACATTACTGGGAAATAAGCAAAGGCGCACTCCCAAAAGTAACTGGTTTCCGATGTTGAGCTGCGTGATCGCAAGACCTCCAAAAAGTCGCTAATCTCAAATGCTACAAACCACTGCTCGAAGGTATTAATGTGGCACCCGCGGTAATCTATAATTTCAACAAAAAAGATTAGGAAGTATTCAATCAACCAACTCACTGGGAAACCTTATCCTCTACTCTTTGTATGTCCCTAGATTTAGAAGATACCACTCCCTACTCCCTCTCCCCACCCTTTGGCCTCAACCCCGTTTTTTTCTCTACGTGGCACTTCTAACCCATCGGTCATCCACTGCACCAAAAAACTCTTACAGCATCCCAGACAACCTATAAAAAACGGGTGTAAAGCATAAAAACGATTTTTCCAACAGGCTCGCCGGAGATGTACAGGAAAGAGCCCAATAAACTAGTTTTTTTTACAACGCGACAACTGAGGCTACTTTTCAACTCGCAAGACCATTCAAAGCCTAAAAACCCTTCTTCTACCTCTTCCCTCTCACCGAAATCAGTGCTATCGCAAGATACTGGGGCATTGGGGTGATAATACACTAAAAACTGCGTAAAAGATGTAATTGTTGTTGGTAAAAGCGGGACCAAGCCTCAAGCAGGAGGTGCTTTCAGGGTGCATAAGCAAATTTCATTTCTCCAAAGTCGCGTCCCTTCCCAGGTCTAATCATTGAGATACCCCCATATTTCGGGATAGCGTCCTGAAACCTATTCCAGCTAATTTAGTAATGCCACAAACATGTTTCCTCTGGAGTAATTCGTCACTAGCGAATCCTACGGCACAGCTGCAGAGAACCGACAGAATCCTCTCTTTGCTCACCTGTCCTGAATTTCACTGGCCATTCGTTTAAGCTCATGCGTTATACTGACGAGTTCGCCTGGTGGATTTGAATGCGCGATAATCTGATCCACCAACACTCCACTTGCGACCATTTTTAGAACGTCCAGAGAGTATCGCTCCGCCAGCAGTAACATTTTCTTTGTGAAATCGGAATCTGCTGTCTCCTAAACATGAATGCTGATGGATTGCCACTTCTTATGAATATGAATGAGACAGAAATAATTTTGACAATTTCACAATCTCACTTTTAGATCGGTTGCATGTTCAGCGCTACATCTGGTCATGAGAGCAGGGTCAGTCCTATCGTTGTTACTTTTTGAAAAATTTTTACGACCCCCCTCCCCCAAGGTGGATTGGTACGACCCCCTTTTCGACCCTCGACCACCATATTCCTCTCTATAGTATTTAATTCTGGTACCACTCAACCCAACTCAACCACGCGTTTTTACGACGCTCCCCTTTCAATTACAGATGGAAAATTACTAAACTTTCGTTTCGCGTCCTACAGTGAGAGACTGGCGTGGAGTACAAAAGATAAGAACAAAACGGTTTTAGTCAAAAAAGAAGCCCTACGCAATGTGCACACAGAATTTCCAAGAGCCCCTGTGACGTCTACCGTCGAATACTTAAACCCAGGTCATGCATACAGCCCTCGAAAAAGAGCGATTAAGAGAGTAAATATCACTCATCTAACCAATCCCTGGCCTTCAAACCTTAACATTCCATTTATAGCCACCCACGGACTCGACGCGATTTTGAACTGTAAACACTTCGCGCTGTTATATTTGCACAACGTACATAGATATGAGAAACTTTGACCGGCTAGAAGAAAAAATGTCTACAGTACTTGCCAAGGCATTCACGAAACCGCAAGTAAAGTTGCTTCACAAATTTGCCTGCTCCAAGGCATCAAAGCGCCCTAGTGTTAGGGATCGAATCCAACCTAGGACAACGAAACATTCACTTGCCTCGGGTCGCTCGACTAAACTAGATCAGTCTGAAAGACTGAACACTGACTTATCAACGGCCGACCTGGGAAAGTTGTTTTGAAGGGCATGCACCTATTCAAATGCTGCTAGGATTTTGAACAGGTCGAAGACGTGGTGTATTCATGACACATTACAAATCATCATCTAGCACATCATTCTTCATTATTCTTCTTACTCAAACGATAACAATCGAAATTTAACAAAGTCATTCTTGCATCTATTCTCATACTCAAACGAAACAATCGACATTAACCAAAGTCGCGTCAACCCCCCCCCCCTCCTGCTGTCCACACGCTCAAATTAAAAAATCCCAATGCCAACCACCACCACTTTGTTGCTACGCCAATGGCGGCCGGTGAAAAAATCCTACAGCGCTATCCTACGACTGTAAACAAGTGATTAACAGGGAGCCCATGGTCACGACCACGAACAAATAACACATTCCATTGTTGGCAATAAATCATGTATTATCAACACACACACACGCTCCCTGTTGCCATCACATCTATCAGACCCAATAAGAAAATCTTTATCCTTTTCAAACGAGAAAACCTGAACTGAATACGCAAAAGACGCTACACTCCCCCATACTCCCACAAAAATGTTATTTCATCGAAATATGGAACCCCCCATAACCATTGTACACAAACAACGCCAGACATACAAAAAACCCCAATTTGGTCACTAAACGACAGTCTCAATCTGCGAGTCAATCTGGCATTCGTCGACAAGGGGTCTCATATGGGTGATTAAGGAGGGGGTTGAGTCCGGTGCAATTGACGTTACGTTTAGAAAGGTTAACTTTGTGAGCCAAGACGATAGTGAGGTGTTAAAAACAGCGTGGCAAAAACTCGCTGTTTTAGCAATGAGCTACCCTCGATTTATGAGGGGGGGGGGGAAGGAGGGGGTGAAAGTTAGCCAGAATTTCCTTTAAAGGTGATAAACTCGGTCAAAACATCCCTGCTCGTAATAGGTCCAGCATGAGAACAATTTTTTTTTCGATACAAGTAATCAGCAATTTTTCGTACCTCCCATTTTCCCTGGAATATCCAAAAATAAGCTCTGAATATGACAAGAGCGCATCAGACTCCTACCGCTCCCTTCGATCAAATGACGCTGTTAATCATTCACGCGACCAATTATGCCATTCATGTCAAAGTTAACGGTTGTAATGTGAGTTGCCGTTTTGCAAATTTGTCGCCACATCTTCTTAAGTAAACGCGAAGCAGCCACTTCAATCATGCATGCTCGGCTTTACGTTGTATTCACGCGGGCATACAAACATGGATGCTGCTCAGCACCTAACTGCTTGAGAACAAGAGCGCCTTCCTACAAATCGTTTGTCCACGGGTGGATGTAACGCGCACCAACAAGAAAGCGTTACGGATGATCCAGTAAAGTTAAAGGGAATTATACGATCAATTTACCCACTGTAGGTACTATATAATCGAAAAAAAAAACTGTGCAAAAATAACAGAAGAAAAAGAAAAAACGAGAATCTTCCACTAACCGACATCACTTCTCGACAATGATCGTTCGATTTCCCCTTCCGTAATGGTGGGATATGTGCTTGTCCAATTCCCTCCAGAAGCGATATGAAGTCTTCAAAGCATTGCACCTCCCTCATCAGCACTCGCTCAAAGTAGACATGAGCGAACGTCTAGAAAAACACAATGGTTGATTTGCCTTAAGCAGCGCAATATCTCTTGCCAGCCTATTCACCCTATTCTCTACCATGAACGTAGCCTACGTGATTCCCTAGTTCAGGGTATTTCTGATATGATCAACAAAAACATGAGTTCTTTCTCAATAGCTGACATCAATGATTTTCAGAGATGGTTCGACATGACACCAGAGATAACGCACCCATAAATACCAACACCGAACAAAGACTATTTTCAAACATATTTACACAACAAAGCCCCGCCAACTCCTTGCGTCGATACATCACTGAAGCGAACGAGTTAGTACCCATCCACGCGGAACTCTTGATAACACTACCAAAACAATAAGGAACTTACACTTCTGACAAGGTTTAGACTGTGCTCTGTTAATTCCTCTTCATCGCTGAAACACTCCTTTTCTACTCGATCACATCCGAATAGAAACACCAAGCGGTGCATGGAGAACTTATCGCCCTGTAAGAAATTACTTTGATGGAGAGGACATGTAAACGAAAAATGAACAGAAATAAAACAAACGCACAAAAAAGTAGAAAAAAGAAAAGGAAAGGCAAGAAAGAGTATGCAACTTTCGAAAGAGCTCACCTGTGCTCGAAGCAGATCCAAATTCGGGATATCGACCGAGTTGTTGAAATAAGCTTTTATAAAATCTTCACATGTTTTCTCTCAATTCGTTGACTTCGACATGCTCGTTCCACACTCGGCAAATAACTCAGTGGATCGAACAACGCGTTTTTGAATCTTCAAATAAAACAATACTCAGAAGGAAAACACCCTGAATTTAGATTTTTTTACTCACTTAATATCAATTACGACGTTCAGGTGTGTGTCAATGTGCTGATGCACGAAATCGGTGAATGTCTTTTCCATTGACTTGTCAAGAAGCAATGGCCATCCGCTTCCTTTCGCGAACTCGCGTGACTTCTCCGATGAGAAACCAGAGAACAATTCAGCACCGGTTTGTGGGCATATTATGGACGCCCTAGAATTAGTTTAGTTAGCTTGATTCCGATACGTTTTCTGTTCATAAAATTCTAAAGTTCTGATCTGTATAAATAAAATTCACACCTAGTAAATACAATGTCGCAACCATATAAAAGTAAGTTAGTAATTAAGTATTGATAATTCGATAACTTTTCCCAAGATGTTTTTTTCCCTAATCAAATCAACATCACCCATATCAATAAAAAGCCCTGCCTCTCTCGCTCTTCAACTCGCGCTCCCTACCCGACGCAAGCGCTCCTTTGTTGTTAACCAAGATGGAAAACCGTCACGCATATGAGAAGGTAAACCAAAACCGCACCACCTTCAAAGACACACACTCCGATTAGCTGTGGCCACAATCAATCGCGTCACAAATCAAAATTCGAAACTGGCAGCAACAGTTTTAGACAATTACAAAAACCATCAAGACAGGTGGCATATCCGACATATGGACTTGGGCATTACATCAGACCATGGAACAGTTACTAAAGCGATGTGGTATTCTGACGCCGACGTTACTCGAGGAACCCAGCTCACATTCTAGAAAAGAATAACATCGATGAATAACGAAGTTAAATCTCGTTGGAATAAGTTTGATTAAGGCATTTGCCAATACCTGCTGACATTTCTAATAAAACTTTACAACATGGAATCCCTTGTAGGCCAAAAATAGCGCGGCAAAAGAAAAATCTTGTGATTTGGCTCAACTGAACAGCAAGCATATGGCGTGACCGCATAGCCATGAGGGCTTGAAAGTCTCGTGTTTCGCCAATAGTAACAATCACGTGAAAGCAACCCTTGGAGACATTTTCAAAGCAATTTTGTAAGCTAACTACTGACTAGTTCATGAGAAACGAACACATCATTGATCAAACATACCGAAAACCATAATCAGTCTTGGACGTCGAAACAATTAATAATCAAACAAAAAGATAAGGAAAAAATCAATTCATGCTATGCTGTTCAATCCCTTTTTGGTATGCGCAACGAATGCAGCTTCCATTCAGAGACGAAACGGCATACAATTTCAATGCGCTTTGGTCAACACAGTGATTGCGATGGTCAGCTTGAGCAAAGTGGGGGTGTGGGGATTTCCATCCCCTAGACAATCTATGTAGTACCGATTAAGCGATATATAAAGGGTAGAAGTCTTGAGCCTGGGCAAGAGCCGGCACAGGATTCCATTCCCCAGACCAGACGTGTGATGAATGATGCCTTGCCACTACACCCTATTCAATAAATATTTAAAACAAAAAATATCTTGCATATATAATAAGAACCATGAAAATGGCTGTTGACAACTAACTTTGCTTCCTCAACAGTCACATCAGTGCAGGGTCCGTCCTTATAATAAAGCAGTACAAAAACACGCCGGACCGATGGCACAGCTGCATATTCTGAAAAAAGCTCGGCTGTTTAAATCACAACTGACAGCAACAGTAATGGGGGATGGCCTTAGCTGGTATCGGATAACAATGCTGGGACAAAAGTGACGACTGCATGAGCAGCCGGGAATTGGGGTAGAAAGCTATGTGATGACACCTTGCTCACAACACTAGCAAGAACTAAAGCTCTGACATTCACAAACCAAGCTCTCCTGCCCAAACCCTTCAAGCGCCGAGCATTCAGGGAATTAGGGGTATGATACCGAGGAAATGGACAAAGGTGTATAGGATAAGTAGAAAAACAACTAGAAAACATATGAAACACTTACCACAGGTTGAAACCACACATTCATCGGACAGACGAAGTGCCCATGTGAATTGAACTCCATTGTAGGCCGTGGAGAATGCAGGAGATACGTTTAAAACGATGGCCTCAGAATTTTCCAGTAACCTGAATGTAAGATAATCGTAGATGTTTCCCGTATTCCAGCACCATCATTTTTTACATAATTATAATTTCACATTCTTATTCAATAGTGACCCAATAGTGATAACAAAAGTACAACGAAAAATCGCTAGATAAATACGCCATCACGTTAACATATCGATTTTCTCACAGGGACGTAGTCGTCATGAATTTTTGTAGGACAAACGATTAAAATCCTTGCGGTCATTTTGAAGTGTGTCAAAAAGGTCGGTGTATATCTATCACGTGATCGCCGTTGGCTTGGCGATAACACACATGTAATCAGGTGGAACTGTTTACTTGAAAAACTTGCAGTGTATCAATATATACTCTGCTGTTTTCCGCGACAGGACGCGCCGTGGTTGTGGACTTACCATAAGTGACATTTGTCAAGAACCAATATCATTGCACAGGTGATATTGGTTCTTGACAAATGGATGGATGGATGCCGTTGCCAAGTTCACAATTACGAAATGTCTTGCTGTAGGAAACAGAATTTGTTCTCTGCACTGCTGTTCGCATTGCCTCCCAACATTGGACTCTGTTTTCGGTGGAAACGCGGTTCGGAAAAAAAAACTGGCACTAGTCTGCTAGGCACTAATCTACTCTGCAGGTACCCTACGACCATTATAGCACCTGCAGGATCACATCCTACCCCGCTGGTTGACAGCCGATTTATGCAGGAGAATAAAACATAGGGATGAATGTCGATTTGTCCTCAAACTGTATTGCCCTTTTATGCCTTCGGACAGTTGGCGATTTTCGAAAAACCGCATGCATAACACATTTCAAAAAACAAGAAAACAATTTTCTGTGGCGCTTAATGATGACGAGTCTTCAAACCGTGGCTTATCATGCAATGGAAACACATGGCTGCGCAAAATTCGTTTATTGGACATATTTCATCTTCTTAAGCCTAGCGTCTAGCCTAGCCCACACTTTAAGGTGTTGCTACGATGAAGTGTTAGTGTCGGAGACCCCGTACTTAAACATCATTTCTGGACCCTCCCTATTTAAAAGGAACTTTACTTGTCAAATTCTCCTCGATACTTTATAGCACGTGAACGCTTAAAAACAGCTTCTGCCCCCGTTCTATTTTTTCTGCGTCCTTCTGTCCTCTTCTTTTTTTTCTGCGCCATTCTACTCTCCATCCATTTTTTCTGCGTCATTCTGCCCTCCATCCTTTTCCTGCTTTTTTTCTCTACCCACTTGGAAATATGTGTGCAGCAGACCAGCAACCACAACACGACTACGATGACTCAAACCAGTACTAAGCGGAATACTATTGCATACTGAACAAGATTAAAAGGTTACTCATAACCTCGCTGTTATTATAGATGTGGTCGTTGTTTTTCGTCAACGATCTGAACGAACGAATACCATAAATCAAAGCGATGCACCATAGACCCGATCGAAAAACAATCTTCAAACTCGACCTTTTTTCGCAGTCGAATCCGCTTTGGGCCCACCATAAAAGTGCTGTAAACAGATAACACTGGTGCTATGTCTATCTTCCCATTTGGCTGGCACTAAGTGTTTCTCACTCACTGACAGAATTTTCAATAGTCACGTTACACAGGACAGTTGATATCGGAAGCCGCCCCGCCAGTGAAAGTCAAGAAGGTAAACATACAGGAGCATTCAACATGAAATAGGACCATTAGTCGCAATGGATATTAAGAAAAAACTAGGTCACATGTAAATACTTTCCGCTTTTGTCGAGACGAATCTCTTGTTTCGCTGCTGTCCCCTTTGCCACTGACTAAAATTCCCCGAAACTTTGTGAAACCAGATGGAGGGCACGCATTCGAGCTACTGCTAATCAAGTACTGAATATTGATTAACTACTGACCAAAAGTGCAGCACTGCCCTGGTACCGTCCATGACACTGAATTCGATACAAGCGTCAGATGTTCCATGGACTCAATAATGCTTGAAAATCAAGGGGTTAAGAAGCAGACTTATAATTGGTTTTACAGGAAACTGTTCTCCCACAAACCGTTGGGTGCAGTAAATACACGGAAAAACGCCTCTGGATTTCTGAGTGGAGGTCGCGATTGTGGCGCACACCAAAAAGGAAAGTAAACGTTCAATCAGCCAGTGATTTGGACCCCGGAACAGGGGCATCTATGTGCTCTACGGTTTCGCGAACAGCCGTGACTGTTGTACTATTCATTGTTTATTGTTGTATGTGACTGACATTTGTTCGTTTCGGTTACAAAACAGATCAATCTTCGTAACTGACCCGTTTATCGACAGTCATATACAAAATGGCGAATGGCAAGCATCTAACACACAAAAGATGCCCTGCAAAACTAGATTGTCGGCGGAAGTGAGCAAGGAAAAAGGTACTGCCCATAAATCTCTGCTATCTTTATTGAATGGGACGTTTCCTTACATCAAGAATATTTTTGTTTCTTTCGGAACAAAAAAGGCGAGTTTTTTACGGACATGAAGCCTTGATCTTTTCTTTGGAGGTACCGCACCAACTGCTCCACCTCATCTTTTCACGCCTTAGAAGATCTGCTCTTCACCGGGTGCAGAAACTAACAGTCGACGCTTCTCATAAGCCAAGTCATTTGTCACGTAGAATCAATCACGATGACGCTAAAATCGACAATAAGGAGATCCCTTTTCGACATCGAAAACCTGATCAACCTTCTTGAGAGCTCAGCAATACGCCTAACTGACCGGTCGGGAGGGCTAGGGGATTGGTCAAAGACTATGTTCCGATGAATTAAGTATAAACACTAAGATACAAAGGGATATGCATCGGCCTAGAGGGTTCGTTAACTCTTACCCGTACCTACACTGTACATGTCCTTAGCTCACATTAAGAAAAACCCATCACTCATACGTAGCTCAAAGTTTAGGAGATAGAAGAAAGAGAAGGAAAGATTATCGCCCAGTCACGAAGAGGTACAATCGTTCCCACATCTTTCAGCAAAATAACTATGCGTGGCGCACCCCATCCGGGTCTGTTCTGATGTCATTTCGTGCTGTACTGTGAATCTGCTTAGACCAATAACTCTTAA